CATTGCTTTTGATTGGATGATAAGGTATTTTCGTCGGGTTTTCAAGGATTGGGGTTCTGGTACTATAGTCTGTAGGATTGTAGTTTTGGAATTATGATCGTGGGTGATTGGGACTTTGAGGAATTTTGGGTTTTAGGGATTTAGAAGGTTATGGATTTAGCGAGTTGGCTTTAAGTTTTAAAACATTTAGATATTTGTGTATTTATAAATTAAAGATGGTACTTAGGGTTTTATAAATTTGGAAATATGAAAACACCAGTACTTAGGAACTCGACAATCTGAGAACTGCAACTATTCCAATAATTTGAGAAATTAAAAAAAAAAATCTGAATAAATTTTTTTCCTCATTGACCTTGAGTGACTCATCGCACAGTTGATAATCATATCAAACATAAACGTTTAGAATTTTCTTCTCAAGTTCACAGTTCGTTTTTCGCGTTCGCAATGAATCACATGATCGGTCATCTTTCCAGGAACAATGCTCAAGGAAGTTTATCACTAATGGCTTGTTTTGTCTTCCTCCCGTCTCTTTAAAATGCAATGTCATAAAGGAAAATGAGAGCACAATATGATGCATAACAAGGAAAACCTAACCTCACTTTTATTACATTTGTTCCCTGAATCATCGCTATGAATAAATTGCTTGTTAATTTCAATGCCATTTTTGTTACAACAAATAATTACAGAGTAAACTTTGCACGATACTTTTGTTATATCGTGAGACAGTTTATGCAAGGTTACCGAAGTACCAGTGACATTAATTATGGCAATTAAAAAGTCCGTTTGCTGACATATGTAAGTATCACTAGATCTCTAATCTACGATCAAGATCGTGTATGCTTGTATCGTTTCAATAATTTATATCGAGGAATGCTTTATTTCGATGTTCAACTTTGAAACAGATTAATGTTCGTATTAAGAACAATTTATCATTATTTCAACGACAAAGTCCCTAGAATTCCATGGGATCTTATGGTCCCTATTCATCTGGAATTACTAGGTAAATATAATTAAAATTACTAGATTTAGGGCTCTAAATTTCCTGTGGATTCCAAGATTTCTTACAGTCACTAAATTCCCTAGAATTTTTCAGATTTTCAAGACACAAGATTTCCAAGGTTCCTAATATGACTAAAGTCTCTAGAATAGCCAGATCCCTAGGAACCTTGAGATTTCAATGGTCCCTAGCATCCTTAGAGTTCGTGGAATACTCTAGTGTCCCAAAAATCCCTAGGAGACCTAATTCACTAAAATATATAGGATCCCTAATGTTTTCAAAGTTTCTAGTGTTCCTAGGGAATCTACGTTCTCCACCTCAGATTTCTAGGGTCCCTAGCATCCTTAGAGTTTGTGGATTCCCCTAGTGTCCCCAAAATCCCTAGGAAACCTAGTTCACTAAACTATATAGGATCCCTAATGTTTCTCAAGTTTCTAGTGTTCTTAGGGAATCTACGTTCTCCATCTCAGATTTCTAGGGTCCCCAGCATCCTTAGAGTTCATAGAATCCCCTAGTGTCCTCAAAATCCCTAGGAAACCTACTTCACTAAAATATTTAGAATCCCTAATATTTCTAAGGTTTCTCCTTATTATTCCTAGGGATCCTACGTACTCCACCTCAGATTTCTAGGGTCCCTAGCATTCTTAGAGTTCGTGGAATCCCCTAGTGTCCCCAAAATTCCTAGAAGACCTAGTTCACTAAAATAATAGGATCCCTAATGTTTCCAAAGTTTCTAGTGTTCTTAAAGATCCTACAACCTCCATTTCTAGGGTCTCAACCGTTTCCAGGGTCCCTAGTACATAAGTCATACTTTGATGTACCAACAAGGAAATATGAGAAAGGCTTAATATGCATTTAACGACTTCCTAAATGCTCTTCCTAAAGGCTCATCACGGACACTAAGATACTAATGGCAATGATTCTTGTTTAGGTTAGCTCCGATTGCACTAGTACAGATCTAATCACCGTAAATCCTTTTACAGGTAGAAGCAGGAAGAGTGGCTCTGTCGCGATTTCCCGTAAATGGTATTCCTACAGAAGGAAACGTGTATCCGGTTATCTGTTCTCCTATACGAAGGTAACCTGTTACGTCGACTTTTGTTAATAAACTTCGTTAGTGTACTACGTTCCGCCATCTTAATTACCACCACGTTCTAACTCATTTTTGTTGATCTACAATCAAATTGTACTCCTGTTTTTACTTCATTTTGATTTACTTTAGAAAATGTCATAGATAATTTGCATCTGGGGATTTCATTCCTGATGCACGGTGCAAAATATCACTAAAAAATTTCAGCTAGGGAGTTCACGGTCCTCCATTTTCTCGAGCATATTCATTGATTTACTTTAGAAAATGACATACATATTTTTCATCTGGGGTCTTCATTCCTGACGTATAAAATATCACTGAAAAATTTTAGCTAGAGATTTCAAGGTCCTCCATTTTCTCGAGCATATCGACCGACTTCCAATTAATTGCATCCTGAAGTAAAAGTAGAATACACTATCAAACTCGATGACAAGTTTTCAATATATTAGCGAGGAAACTAGAGCAGGAATGCCGATGATGTCTACCTTCAACTCTGTCATTGAAACTTCACGCAACGTGGAACAATGACTTTCCCGTCGTTAATAATTAATTATTGGACGCATAATAAAAGCCATGCAATTACGTGCATACGGTCCTGTCTTCCATAAAGCAGGGAATCATCTGCCGTACGATATTCTTCGTTCATCAGATATGCAAATTAAAGCAGTCAATTACACGACTAATTTCACCTGCACATGTACGTTTGCTTTACAATTTGCACTTTAGTATCAGTCAATTTTTTTCTCTTAATTGCATTATTTGAAATTGTACTTGCAAGGTTAGGTACTGGTTCAAGGACTTAGAGGTTAGGTGCTGGTTCAGGGACTTAGAGGTTAGGTACTGGTTTAGGACTCAAGGGTTAGGCACTGGTTTAGGGACTCAGAGGTTAGATACTGGTTCAGGGACTTAAAGGTTAGGTACTGGTTTAGGGACTCAAGGGTTAGGCACTGGTTTAGGGACTCAGAGGTTAGATACTGGTTCAGGGACTTATAGGTTAGGTATTGGTTTAGGGACTCAGAGGTTAGGTACTGATTTAGGGACTTAGAGGTTAGATACTGATTCAGGGACTTATAGGTTAGGTACTGGTTTAGGAACTCAAGGGTTAGGTACTGGTTTAGGGACTCAGAGGTTAGATACTGATTCAGGGACTTATAGGTTAGGTATTGGTTTAGGGACTCAAGGGTTATGCACTGGTTTAGGGACTCAGAGGTTAGATACTGGTTCAGGGACTCAGAGGTTAGGTACTGATTTAGGGACTTAGAGGTTAGGTTACAGTTAGAGACCCTTTTGATAGCTGCAATACAATTTAATGAATACATAAGTTCGTCGGCGGCCATATAACGGGAGTGTTTATAATTTTTCGTACATGTCTCGGGTCACAAAAGTGCAATCAGCGTACGTCGGTCCCGTTAGTCAACCTTAAGGTTTAAGGTCCGTTCCTACAGGTACAGCTATATACTTCCTTCTGTTATGCAAATATATGATACATCTCTAACGTTGAATTAAACAATTCACAGTAAAAAATCATTGTTTATTTCATAAAAAGCAATAATTCTTCCAATGAATAAATTCATAAATAAATCCTTCATCACTTACAAACAGTTCTAATTTTAATAAATTTAATTTTAACCTACTGCAAGGAACGTTTTGAAATTCAAATCTGACAGGAATTCCCGCGCTGGAGCCACCGTCGTCCGAAACCTCCCGTTTTAACCCTTTTGCAAATTTAGAAACTTGCCTGGACAGTACACATAAATATTGTCAGTTACTAGGCCCGTGTGAAAGCGCCATTCCATTCGACTCCAGCTATAATGCTACGACACACAGAAAGACGAGACTCTCGTTCGCACGGGGGGTCACAGCTAGCCCCGAGGGAGCAGTCATTGACATTGAGAGAGAGAGAGGGAGAGAGAACGTCGAGAAACGTGACTAATATCGTGGTGCTACCTCTATATGGAACCTTTTCGCATTTTCTATTCCTGTCCATAGCCACCTGTAGATTCGCGTCGATCACGAGACCTATCTCATGCCATCAAGTATTTGCATGATCAAAATTATGTGACACTTCCAGCAGAAAGGCACAGCGGAAGTAATGGAGTCAACCATCAGATAAATTACACGGTGAGGCAAGATTAAAAAGTGCAGACATTGTCTGAACATTCTAATTACACGCTCGTTGGCGCCGGCTGGGGCAAAAAAACAATCGTGGGCATGAGATGTTACATGGACTGTAATCTCTATTGTCTGAGGTTCAAATTCTTTCAAAATCTTCAAGACCCAAGATTATAACGTTCTTCAAATTTCTAGGTCTCAAGGACCCAAACCTTAAAAATTCTCGAAATTCCAAGATGTTCGTAGCTCACATAAAAACCCTCACCTGGACCACGGTTTAAGAACGTGATTAAGCGTGTTTATAAATACAGACATATATGATAAAGTTTGGAATGCTCCACATACGAGAGAAGCATTCCAAAGGATCGGGAAATAGTGACGTTCAATTTGCTTGGCTGGTACAGTAGTTGTATAGACCGCTAAAACAGGTTTCTCGCAAACTGGCCGCAGACGGTTCAGTATTCGACAGTCGGTCCGTTGGTATCGTCGAGGCTCATTGCCTCGAGCGACGTAGAAAGTATAACGCAAATGACTCCGATAAAGCGCTCGGTTCACGTAGGTAAATAAGATTTGTCCTCGAAATACGCTGATCGTAGAGCGCCCACACGAACGGTACACAGAAGCCTCGCTATCTAAGCCCAGCACAGAAACACCTGACTAAATGACATTCTAACGCGACGATTCCATCGGCCATGCCTGGAGGGATCTTCCCGAAGCAAGACCATCTTCCAGAACAATCACCGATCCCTTCATACATTTATTCATATCGATAATTCCGGTAGAAAGATGCGTCCAACGTACCCTTGCTCCTCTTCGGTGGGTCCCTGCTGCGCCATGCGAAACACGTCCGTGGTCGACATGGTGCTCCGCTGATCACTCCGACACTCGATCACGGATCACATATCGACGTCACTTAGCCCCGTTCGTTCATCCGACGTCGAGGATGCTACACCTCGATGGTGTCGCGCACTCCACGTGTGGACGCAGGCGAAAAAATTACGTGTCCAGGTCGGCTGGCGCCCGTCAAGGCTGACACCGGTACGAGAAGCTACGTGTGCAACAGGTTGTGTCCCGGAATATTGTCAGTTACTAGGCCCGTGTGAAAGCGCCATTCCATTCGACTCCAGCTATAATGCTACGACACACAGAAAGACGAGACTCTCGTTCGCACGGGGGGTCACAGCTAGCCCCGAGGGAGCAGTCATTGACATTGAGAGAGAGAGAGGGAGAGAGAACGTCGAGAAACGTGACTAATATCGTGGTGCTACCTCTATATGGAACCTTTTCGCATTTTCTATTCCTGTCCATAGCCACCTGTAGATTCGCGTCGATCACGAGACCTATCTCATGCCATCAAGTATTTGCATGATCAAAATTATGTGACACTTCCAGCAGAAAGGCACAGCGGAAGTAATGGAGTCAACCATCAGATAAATTACACGGTGAGGCAAGATTAAAAAGTGCAGACATTGTCTGAACATTCTAATTACACGCTCGTTGGCGCCGGCTGGGGCAAAAAAACAATCGTGGGCATGAGATGTTACATGGACTGTAATCTCTATTGTCTGAGGTTCAAATTCTTTCAAAATCTTCAAGACCCAAGATTATAACGTTCTTCAAATTTCTAGGTCTCAAGGACCCAAACCTTAAAAATTCTCGAAATTCCAAGATGTTCGTAGCTCACATAAAAACCCTCACCTGGACCACGGTTTAAGAACGTGATTAAGCGTGTTTATAAATACAGACATATATGATAAAGTTTGGAATGCTCCACATACGAGAGAAGCATTCCAAAGGATCGGGAAATAGTGACGTTCAATTTGCTTGGCTGGTACAGTAGTTGTATAGACCGCTAAAACAGGTTTCTCGCAAACTGGCCGCAGACGGTTCAGTATTCGACAGTCGGTCCGTTGGTATCGTCGAGGCTCATTGCCTCGAGCGACGTAGAAAGTATAACGCAAATGACTCCGATAAAGCGCTCGGTTCACGTAGGTAAATAAGATTTGTCCTCGAAATACGCTGATCGTAGAGCGCCCACACGAACGGTACACAGAAGCCTCGCTATCTAAGCCCAGCACAGAAACACCTGACTAAATGACATTCTAACGCGACGATTCCATCGGCCATGCCTGGAGGGATCTTCCCGAAGCAAGACCATCTTCCAGAACAATCACCGATCCCTTCATACATTTATTCATATCGATAATTCCGGTAGAAAGATGCGTCCAACGTACCCTTGCTCCTCTTCGGTGGGTCCCTGCTGCGCCATGCGAAACACGTCCGTGGTCGACATGGTGCTCCGCTGATCACTCCGACACTCGATCACGGATCACATATCGACGTCACTTAGCCCCGTTCGTTCATCCGACGTCGAGGATGCTACACCTCGATGGTGTCGCGCACTCCACGTGTGGACGCAGGCGAAAAAATTACGTGTCCAGGTCGGCTGGCGCCCGTCAAGGCTGACACCGGTACGAGAAGCTACGTGTGCAACAGGTTGTGTCCCGGCTTTTCCACGATCCGCGTTCGATCGAAAAGCGACGAGGTACGAGGCGACCAACTCACTGCCTCAGTCTCGTGTAGTGTCGCAGCGAAGCGAAACACGCCGCACCTCTGCCTCTGTTGCCGCTTGTTCTCTTCCTTCTACCTACCTGTGCACACGCACACCACCATTTTTCCTGTGTGCGTGCAGACCGTACACGACGGAACGTGTTCCTTCTACCTGCGCGCACGTACACGCCGCCACGACGAGGTCGTAGGGATGCTCTTACCGGCTGCCTTTCGGCCGTGCGTGGATACTTTTGATACACTGGCGTTCACTCTGGTCGCGTGACGAGCACACGCACGGAATTTTGCCGTGCCTGTGTGCGAACAGGTTTCACGTCGTTGTGTATTCCTTTCATTTGCATAGTGTGAGTAGTTTACAGTGCATATCACTTTCTTCTGGACCTAATATCATGCTTTATCCACGACCTTAGGTCTGCGGATAGCCAGGGATCTAACCTATCTTTGACTAGGAATAGGTTAGAGTACGCTAAAGGCTACCGTCAACCTGTACGGGGCCTTACGCGCTGTAGGCCCCTACTTCACAGTGTAGGGGGGTCCCTTGAATCCAACCTCCACTGGTCAGAGCTATGCATCAACGAACCCGGCTATACTTTCAAATGTATTTCCGTTTACCTGCGCGCCAGACGCACACCGATGTTTCCATCTGTGTAACGGTTCAGCCATTCCGTTTGTAAAGACGTATTCGCGTTTCTTTGGGCCCTGTGAGCGGCACCACAACGCTTTTCACCCGAACACACTGATGTTTACGTATGCATACGAGGATAAAAACTTTCTTGTTATGTATGTATGTATGCAGATCAAATACGTTCATCTGGGAGCACACATTTTTTGTGTACACTCGAGAAAAACATGAATGAGAAGTTGTTTTTTGTTAGGTTCAACTACGGAATTACACACAGGGTCAGGTTTTTTTTTTGAAATTCAAGGATCTTTTTTTGTGTTAAACTTTGATCCAATTTGAAATTGTGGAAGGTAAATATAAATTAAAATAAACAAATGTACGTGTGTGGAGAGGTTCGTAGTATCTGCATGCGACTCACGTGCACACTCCGGATGGAAGTGTACAGTCACGTAAAATGCATTCGATCGTAGCTCATTGACGATGCAGTAACTATGAGAAACACTATAATGACAAGCGGTTTAGCAAATAGAAGTTCATAGGTTCTGAAGAAAAAATATTTGAATTATACAAGTTACATGTCATAAAATGTGTATAAACATGGAACACTGTTATCCTTATATGCAATTAAATTCATAGAGTTGAATATTTATTGTAATAAAACAAATGAAATGCAAATTATTCGATTTTGGAGCACGCGACGTTCGTATTTGGCGCCTTTTTCGCGTTGCGCTTGCGCAACTCGCTCTTGGTCATTAATCAGCTTATAATTTTAAATTTAATTAAGTTAGTCAGGTTAATACCCTGAGTGGATTCATTGAATTATGCTCGTTATGTATCGTATTTACATTTTATATCTTATGGACGTCATAATATACAAGACGAATACATTAATGACGGAACTAAATGATGAACAATACAAATTATACTTTAATATACATACATACATACTTTACGTACGAAATCAATTTGTCTTCTTCTATTAAATAATACTATGATACAGTCGTACATTTGATATAACCATAAATGAGCGATATATTGGAAATAAACGTAAAAAGATATTAAAAAATAGTGCCTTTAACACAATTTCGATGCTGAATGTTTACAAGATGGCGTAACAGAATATTGTCCTTTTTCTTCTTCGTAAATGTAAACAAACGAGGTATCTTACAACTGTGTATCGTTTAATGCAATATTCGGCGTTGTTTAACAGTGAACTGGTCGTTATTTGCGCTGGTATATAAATCGGTGTTAGCGATGTATATGGCATCATAGAAAAATTCACATTAATATTACGTGAAGTAATAGTTGACAATGATCTGGAGCGATATATTACAAAAACGAAAAGGAAAAAAGAAGATTAAAAATAGACTTTGCTTCTCACACTCATTCATTCGATTTAATGTCTTTAATAAAAATTTTAACCTGAAATTTTGTTTAATGGCGGTCCCACATGATCAGTATGTCATTGATCCGAAATTTTCAGATTCATAAATGCTCAAACTTACTAATCTTCAAAGTCATTTGTAAAGCTTCTAATTGAGTTCATGAATTTCCATTTTGAGATGTAGACACGTGATCGTCTGAGGCCGCCATTATACGCACAACCTTTCGAATCGCTCACTCTCATCGGCACTTGTACAACATTGACTTTCATATGTTGATAAGACTGTTTAAATGTTCCAGACATCTCTCCTACGACAATAATCTTACAAATTACAATTGGACCAAATGTACGTCGAGTTGCAACATTTGTTTTACGCGGTAAACCGGAAGTCATGACTACATGGCCCGTTCAGCTACTTAAAAATTGTTTGTTAGAGTTCACTAATTGTATATAACAAGTTTTAAGATATAAAAAATTAATCGAGAATCCTGCTTTTACGTACAACGTAAGCGTTGACAACTTATAAAAGATCCTATTCTAAAATAGAATATTTGTATACTTCATCTTCACTTTCATACTTCAAATTTAACCTAACAAAATATTCATTGCATTACCAATTATTCGATAAGTTTCAATTCTTTCTACAGATTTAATTTTCTCTACGTTTAATTATACTAAAAAAAAGTATGAACCTCAAAATTGACACTGGCTATGCAATGATGTGTACGCCATTTTAGTTTAAAAATAACTTGTCAAAAATAACTAACACGGGCCATGTAAACGTATCACAACTATGTATGCACATTCATACATACCTACACATTCAACAAACACACAAATTGTTCTTGAAAGATACACTCATTAATCATTCTCGCACTCTGTTAATCAAGCTACTTGTTACAATGCCTGCTTTGACACCTGACTCGATATTTTTCAACTAACCTCAAATTCCAGCCTTTAATCAGCGAATGAACGTAAAATGAGAACAATCTCGAATGCCTTTAATGAATTCTGTAATTTAATGTCACATGATTAGAAAACATCTTCGGCGAGAAATATGAAAAACATTGTACTTAATGAAGGAATCTACTCAGGTGCCAGGAACAAGAACTGTTTAATTATCGAGATTCAGCTTTCGTTTTGGGAGGCCTGAAGGCCTTCAGTTTCTTAGCTTTCTTTTGTTTCGTAGCACTAGTACCCGACTGAAACGCTTTCCAACTATCGACTCTTGATTGTCGAGATTCCTCAAAATTTTTTTGCCACTCACGCTCTAATGCGGCTTGCGCTTCCGCAGATAATTCTTCTTCTCGTTTCCTCTTGCGCTGCTCTGCGTCTCTGGTGGCTAATTCTCTCCTACATAAATCATATTATTTATATACAAATAGATTAATTTTTTATTTGTACATGTGAATTATTACACACCTTCTGCGCTCCATGTCAGCAAAGAGTTTCATTGTCATAACCCAAACAGCGTGTCTGTAACCTTCCTCTGTCTCTTCTTCAAGCATAGCCCCACTGTCTGTTTTCCCTTCTTTTTTCAATTTCTTTTTTTTTTCAGCAATCTAATAAATTTTTTGTCATTATATACAATTCTACAAACAAAGGGAAGTTCTATGTTTCCATACACACCATGTGGTCGGTACGAGCCTTGGCTTCTTCTATAACATCCATACATTTCGCTCTAGTTTCTTCATTCTCCAGTGTTTTCCATGCTTTATTTACAACTATAAGAAATGGAAAGGCATTAACAATCTATCTCAGTATCAGTGATCTATTTTATATACCGAAACTTGATACGTACTTTCAAATGCCTGTTGTGCACGTTCCGCATCATCCTGGTTTTTATCTGGATGAACAAGAATTGACATCTATAAAATAGCAATGAATCAATATGTATTAGCATCGATTTATGCTTGACATGGAAGAGAACAGAACAACTTACACGTCGATACTTCTTCTTGATTTCATCTATGGAAGTCGAGGGATCAATTTGTAATACTTCAAAAGGGTTCAAATTGAAATAAGATGACCCAGGTCGAAGTAGTCTATCGATTTGTTGTTTGGGAGTCAATACCGAATCCCTCTTCTCTATCTCTTTCACCTAAACAAAAACATGAGTCCACAAAGCTTAGCAAAACAACTTTCTGAACATGCAGGTGCATTTATATAGGTTAGGCTTATTTACAAGTTACAGTTTTATTGAGAAAACAAGCTAGTTTTTAACAATTAAAGTAAATGTCAGATACAATCCATTGAGTAGACAAAGCTGTATGATATATAGCGTCATAAATCTATTTATTATCCTTATTTGACTCATGCAAAGTGACATTTTTTAACCTTCAAGGTATGGTATCAATGTTTACAGTTACATAACAAGCGTTTATAGCAAAAATTGTATGGTACAAGGAAAAGTAATGTAACAACGTATCGTTCAGAATGTATGCACCTCTGAATAAAATTCGTTGAATTCATCTTCTTTCTTTGTTGGGCTATCACTGGGTATACTCGAGTTGGTAGCAGCCATCTTGATTGTTACTAACTTCCATTTCGTTGGTGGTGCCGCCTATTTGAAGTTTGTAAACACAAATATGCAAATGTTGCTTCTATTTCTTTACAGAAGCTATTTGCTTCATCGGATTTGCATGACGGTATTCTGTTTTCGACGTTTGGAACATTGGAACTCTAACATTTTTAAATGTGGGCCTTTATGTGGGAGTTTGGAAGGGTGGTACTTTGGGACTTGTGACATTTTGGGACTTAGAGGTCTTGGGACGTTGAGATTTTAAAATAAAGTAAAATCGGAGTTGATTCAAAGTTTTATTGTATTTTATTAACAAAGCTTAACGACCAATAAACAAGTAAAGTCTCGTTAGCAGTAACAAAGGTGTATCAGACGAACATAAAATCGTACATTGAATATACACCGCAGCAAAAGGTTCCTTTCAAATGAATGGACACAAGGTTTAACTTCGACTATATCTAGTGCATGTACACGTAACTACCCGCTATCTTCTACCAGGAGATACAGAATGTCTAAATGGGAGAATGTAAACACGACACTATAACATCTAGCATATGTTTCGCTAATCTAGCATATCTAGTGGCTAATTTAGTCGCTATTGAACACCGGTTCATACATCAACGCGTTATTTTTATTGTAAACTATGAGGACCAGTCTGTTTAAGGAACGCGATTACAAACACACACAGTTTCATTGCTTACTAACATACTGTATGTTCATTTATCTAGTAACACAAATTACAAACTAATTTTTACTTACATCGACTCTATGCTCTATCTTCTGTTTGGGAACCGCCATTTCAGTTCTAATAAATACAATTTTGTTGGAAAGATTTAACGCGTTTGCAGCGTTCAAATTTCCCGCGCCATAGACAATGCAATGTATAGATGGTTGAATTCTTTTATAAAATGGCGGAGTAGGAATTAGAAGGCAAGTACAAACGCGTTAACGGCAGTCGTTCAAAACAATACGTTCAAAAAGTAAGTCAATTCTTTACGAAGATATATGTATTAACATTTCAAATACAAAACGTCTAAACGTAATTTGTACATCACGCATCTCGAAAATAAATATCTTTAAATAATTTAAGGGTGATTAGCAGTATCATACAGGATTATACACATTTCTACGTTATGCATTCCTAAACAAATCCGACCTCACGGCTCTACCGTAACGAACATACAAACATCACAACAGTATCATTTTTTTAATCTTTTACCACAGATGATTATATGTAACTACACGGTCTAGCGATTAAGGGTAACAATTCGATAAGCAGACAGTTAATACTCGTTTCAAAATTTCCATCGAAGGTTTAAAAAAAGATGTCCGCTCACTCCATAGTCCGTTCATAAAGGAGCAAAATGGCGCCTTTCGGAAGAGAACTTACTGGCACATAAGCTGTTACGAAATTAAAAAATTCCTCCAGGCTGGATCCACGGTAATTGAACGCGTATTGTACCGGAAGTTATCACGAAGATGTTAGAATTTTGGGAACACGATAAATGTCATGAAACTTTTTGTTTACATAAATCTGTACATCTTAGACCTTTCTACACTATTTACATTATTTCAAATCCACTGTCACAATGATTTTCTCATCGATTTTTGTCTATTTTGAAATAATGTAATTTGTGCAGCTTTTGACTTCGTGCAATTATCGAGCAGTCTCTTAAAAGGTCTCGAAGATTCTCATAAAACTTCGTCGAGAAGTTTCTGTCAAAATATACTTTTTTTTTCCATAAAAATTTACATCTAAACTTATCAATATCGAAAGCTTATCGTTAAAGCGAACAATGTTTATCTGACGAGAAGGTCATTCAGTGAGACATGCGTCGAACAGCGTACAATCATTAGTTATAGACACATAGATTGGTCGAATCATCGGTGAAACACTTAATTAAGATCGCGATACGAAAGCTGTAAATATTTTTTTCTTTATCGACCGAGTATTGTATATTTACGCGTATGCGAGATTAATGGTCCTTTGATTTCATAATTGATCTTCGATATCACTTGCCGATTTTTCTTTCTTAGAAATTCATCGTTACAAAACGTTTACAAAGGTCTTTCGATTGGAAGTTTCAAAGGGGCTGTTCGTGCAACAGGGTGAATAAAAACGTGTTTTTTTTTCTCTATGTTGTTAAGGGTCTTCTTCAATCTTTCCGTGAGAAACCAAAGCACCATTGAGTGTTATTTCTAGAAAAAACATTAACACGGTTATACTCTATCATGTACTCTTTAAACACATTAGGTAGATCTCTCGTATCGGACATCTGTATACGTTCATTGTAATTATGCTTAGATAAATTCCTGTTTTGCTGGAGTGATTACCAATTTCACCTTTCTTCATTTTTACAATTTTACAATTTTTTATAATTTTAATATTCCAAGTCTTCAGTTCTTCCATTTTACAGTTTTGAAATTTGATACTTTTCAAATTTTCTGGGTTATAAATTCCTCAGTATTCAAATTTTTCTGTTTTCAAATTGTCCAATGACCTAATCTGTAATTCCTTAAATTTCCAAATTACATTTTAAAGCGAAGTCCAATTTGAAAATTTGACGTTTTCACATTTCTGTATGCGGCTATATAGCGAGACTATACTGTCCTTCTCCGTTCAATCAAGAAAATTATTCGACTCTATCAATCCTACAGTGAATAACGCATTAGAAACCAACATTCTTCATAAAAAAAAAGCTTAATTTAGTTACCTGCATTAACCTCAATATATGTGAACTAACCTCAATATACATAACATACATGTAATATCTGTAATTGATGTGTACATATAAAATTGGTGATCATTCCAACAAAACAAAGTCTATATATTAATAATACAACATACGACACTCTATAAAAATTTTACAGAAACATTCGCAGATGTATGTGTCCGCGTGACGTAATATCCACACACATGTACACACACGTATAAACTTTCAAAATCTATTTGGCACTCTCCTAGTTTCATCGAAAAGGCGAGCACACTTGCTATATTCATTAATTCCAAGACATTGCATCGAGTAGAACCTTACTCTTTGTTTATTTTTTATTTATTTTTTTCTTTCTACACAAATGTACGTGTTTGCATTTTTACGCTACTTAACCTCGAATTCTTCCTTACGCATTACACGATAATTGGTCTAAGAAGGGATTTGTTTGCATAAAAAATAAGTGTCGCTTCACGGATTCTTTCAAATTCTTTCGAGATGACTGTAAATATATAATTGTTTATATAGTTGTAAATGGAATTTGACTAGTCAACGTTTTAATATAACGAAAGGTGATTTTTAGGGGGTTTAGGAATTGGGAAATTTGAGAGATTAGAAACTTGGAGACAGTGGGACGTGGGAGAGTGGAGGACTTGGGGACGGTGGGACTTGAGAGAGTGGGACTTGGGAGAGTTGGGGACTAGGGAGAGTGGGACGTGGGGAGAGTGGGACTTGGGAGAGTGGGGGACTGGAGAGAGTGGGACGTGGGGAGAGTGGGACTTGAGAGAGTGGGGGACTAGGTTGAGTGGGACTTGGAAGAGTGGGGGACTAGAGAGAGTGGGGCGTGGGAAGAGTGGGACTTGAGAGAGTGGGGGCTAGGGAGAGTGGGACTTGGAAGAGTGGGGGACTAGAGAGAGTGGGACGTGGGGAGAGTGGGACTTGAGAGAGTGGGGGACTAGGGAGAGTGGGACTTGAGAGAGTGGGGAACTAGAGAGAGTGGGACGTGGAGAGAGTGGGACTTGAGAGAGTGGGGGACTAGGGAGAGTGGGACTTGGGAGAGTGGGGA